ATTTGCGTAGATTTAACCCCCCCACCCATATACTTAAATGTTGATTTCAGATTTTTCTGCGAACTTGGGGAGTGCCCCAAATTTATGGAAAAATATGTTTAGCCACCATGTGCCCCCAATCCATGGATTTAGCTACCAGCAGATGGTGGCCCTGGGTGGTTAATAATAATATACAGATATATATGCTGCTCTTTAAACCATTTATGATGTTCCTATGATCATATTTTGTAGCTGAAAACTGCCTCTCCTCATATCTGACTCTCCCTTCTTCTTCCATTCCACAAACAACACACCCCTATAAATTACAAGCTTCCTTTAAAATACTATTTTTTTTCCTCTGAAACATTTTGGTAATACCAATTTGCATATCCAGAGTTCACGATGACAACAGCCATTTTCAACACACAAAGCAGTGGAAGAGCTCTACAAAAAGCAATCAAGACTAGAGGCCTGAAAACATCAAGAATAACTTATGCTATCGCCTGGGACCACCCACAATGAAGTTTCCATCTCCTTGGTTTCTTCCATCCTTAATTACTACCACAGGCTTATAGCAGACTGTTAAGTCACCACTGGTGGCCATATACTTCTCAACAGAAAGGTGTTGGTACTTGTTTTACTTTGGACTGGCTTTGCAGAAGCAGCGTGGGAGACTTAATAATACAATCCTATACAGAGTTATTCTAATCTAGGTCCACTGATCTAATCTAGGTCTAATCTAGGTCCACTGATTCTATCCTGGACGTATGAAATTAATAACTGACTGAGCACCATTGTTTTAAGTGTTGGATGTTTTTATTATGTTTTATATGTTTTAATTATGGCACGGCTAATTACCCTGCCCTTGGTTAGCCGCCCTGAGCCCACAGGGGAGGGTGGGATATAAATGTGAAAAATAAATAAATAAATAAGTAAAGGGCTTAGGCTGGAGCAACTGTATAAAATTGCACAGTCACATTGGTTCTCCAAATCCAAGTCCAAAGACAATGAGCATTTAGCCCCTCTGTTGAGTCTCTGTAATTCATTGACATCTTGGAGAGGACAATTACCAAAAGATGCATGAGCTATTGTCACTGGTGACTTGGCAAGTGGGCTGATGGAGATTTGTTGATTATGGAATGAGCCACCAAAATGGTATATGTATTTGAGAATGTATTAACAATTTGGGGGTCTGGAGTCAAAGAGCCGGTAGTGGATGGAGGGCTGGATTAGTATCTTGAAGACCCAAGTTCGAGTCCCTGTTCAGCCATCAATCAGTGGGTAAGGTCTGTCTCTTTTGCTCTCTCAGTCTAACATTACGATAGAACAGTGGGAAGGAGAAGAATAGTGTATATTCCTTTGAGCTTTTTGGGGTAAGAGGATAAAAAATGATAATTACACACTTACATATCTTCCACATATCTACTATGCTACATTCTACAAGTTGGTCCCGCCCCCGCCCCCCATTTTACATGCACTATGCAGTGTGGCGAAATTAAGCCCCCACCCCTGCTTCTTTGGCTGTCTACTGAAGTTGAGCCACAGTTTAACAAAGCAAGATTAATTCCATGGAACAGTGATAAGGGAAGAGAATGCAAAAGAGAAGACACCGGAGGCATGACATAAGAAAAATGAGAGGCATAAATATTATAAAGAGGGAATTAGTGTTTGACAAGAATGGGCCTAATAGGTGATCTAACCCCTCTCCAGCCACTGTTTTATGTAGCGCTCATGAGCAAAAGTACACTTTACATGGGGGGGAAAGTGATTCCTAAAAGACCTGTTTGATGATTAACAGTCATATAGGGGGCAGGGGAATTTTGGAGGAAGAATTCACTGATAAAACAGAAGATATGTAATCCTTCCCTACCCCCCCCCCCCCCCACCCGTTCTCTCTTTCTCCCCCTCTCTTATTTTTCTCACTCCTCCTAACTAGGCTGCTTTCCACTTTCACAAGACAGATTCAGAAGGAGAAATGGGGACGGAGAACACCTGTTAGGGACTGCAGAAGAGAAAGGGGGGGCAGGTGAAGGGTTACGCACTCCCCTCCCACCAAAGAGTTCTGCCCTGCAAATGCTCTCTCAGCTACTACTGCAGCAGCATCATGATTCAAACCCAGAACACCGTGTTTGCCTTGCAACCTACAGTTCCACCCTCAGTCTGAGGACTGATTCTGATACAAAAAGCCTTCCTGTTTAAGTGATGACATTTTGAAGTAATCCAGGAGAGTAAACGGACTGAAGAGGCCAGGTGGTGATCAAATCCAACTCTCTGCCCTGAGGCAGGATCCTTCCCTGCTGCAACCTCCCTTCCCACCCCACAGACTAATCCGCGTAATCCTGGCCACAATGCACCAAACAGAGCAGAAACCAACTCCGTGTGCCAGTCCCAGATGCCTGCAGAGCAGAGAACTCTAAATGATTCGAGCAAATAAATTAAGCTTACACGCTACAAGGGTTTTTTAAAATAAATAAATAGATAAAAGAATACTGCTTTAAACGAAAAATAAGTGTTCTTTTTATTAGTCTTTGAGGCTGTCAGGCTCCAGGGCACACACTGTCATCATATTCTTAAGAAGCTGCTCAGAAAGAAAAGGAGAAATGGGAAGGAGACTTTCTGCAACCTCTCTCAGACTCTTTTAGATCTTTTACTTTTCTTTTCTTCAGAAGGGGATCTCAGCACTGGAAGCACAAAGTCCTTTGACTTTCCACTCCAGTTGCATCTGCTTTTCTAAAAAATACACTTTTAAAAACTTAGATACAAAAGACTCTGTAAATATCTGTATTTCCCTCGGCTGGAAGGTGCCTCACAAATAAATGCCCGGTGAAATCACCCTGACTCACTTCCTTACATTTTTGTGCCGGAATTGGGTTTGCCCTTTCGCAGGAGCGAAAAGTTTGCATTCCCTTGGGCCCATGGGGATGCAAACGTGACAAGCGGCAACGAATGATGGCATGGAGAAGGGAAGCCGAATCTTGTTGCTTTGGGCCCACTTGGCAACTCAGTCATAACAGGTGGCAGCAGAGCCCCAGTAATACGCCCTCAATTCAGCCAAGGAACCCTGAGTCACGTCCACCGCCACTGCCTCATGCCACGCTTCAGCCCTGGACTGTCATCATCAACTGGCTCTCCGGGCACGTGCAGAGCGTTTTGTAACCGTCTCCCTCTTCGCACATCTCAGACGAGGAGGCAACCCAGAGAGGCTCAAACCCCGCTCAGGCGCCTGCCCTCTGGGGTGCGCCAACGGCCCCCTCCAGTCCTACCTGGGCACGCCTGGGCGTAGTCATAGCAGCAGTCGCCGGTCGTCTTGCACGCCTCGTCGCAGAAGCAGGTCCCGTAGGCTCGGCTCAAGCGCCACCCGGTAGCGACGCACGTCGAATCTCGGCCCGGGCAGCAGCGCCCTTCTTCCGCGCAGCCTGCCCGGGCGCCGGGCCAGAGAGCCACCAGCGCCACTAGCCCCAGGACCGCCGCCGGCCCGGCCCTAGCCCCCATCGCCCTGCCTCCGAGGCAAAGCGGCACCGGCTCGCAAGGCAGCCCGGCTCAGGCCCGCCCTCTTGCCCCGCCCCGGCCCTCCCGAGGCGCCCGTCGAGATCTCCGGGCCCCAGGAAACGGCTGCTGCTGCCCCGAGGCGCGAAAAGGCGGCAAGAGCACGCCGCAAATCAGCCCGCCGCCACCTCCTCGAATAGCTCGTGCCCCGCTGCCTAGCCGAGAGGGGGGGCCGCCGCGGGACGCCGTCGTCGCCCGCTCATCTTCTCAGGACAGGCTCAGGAATGCGCGCGGTTGGCAGCGGACCAGCAGCCCGGGAAGAGGGCCAGAGGCCGCGGCTCGCTCAGCCTCAGAGGTTGCAGCCGCGGCGGTTCTTTCCTGCTTCTGCATCTCTGGCCGGGATGCGTTGGGTGGGGCTGCCCTCGCAGAGGTGTGTTTGCAAGGAATAGTTGGCTGCGCCCATAAGGGAGCGCGCCCGCCCGCAAGCTCCAAGCTCGGCCCCGGAACGCAGAATATAGTAACGGCCCCAAGTGCCTCTGAGCAAGTGCGGAGCGCGCCCTTCTCATCACTAGACTTCAGCGACGGTGCTGTTCCACTTGCATCGTGACGGACCATTTGACGAATTTGCTGTCCCCAAATAGTTCATTAGAAAAAGTTTATTTTAAAAGCCCATGTTGCTGCTAAACGTGTGAAGAATCAGCTTTCTTCAGGATTCCCGTCTTTCAGTGGCAAAGCGATGAGACACAATATAGAGTGTGCAACAATGTGTCAAATATTCCAGGTCTGGATATTGAAATTGTGCATGAGGCACCCACTATCACTGAAAGCCAGGAGCAGTACTTTCTCTCTTCGTATAAATGGTTAAACTGCACCTCCTCTCTCTCTCTCCCTCTCTCCCCTTTTTGCAAAACTGAAGTGCAGACCCAGGGGGGCTGCAAATTTACTTGAAGGAGTAGGGGAAAGAGGGTTTTCCCCCATAGACTCTCCCTCCCCCCCCCATCTAAATTGTCCTTCAGGTTGCTATTTGCCCTGTGAGGGGACTGTATTTTTTACCCCACAAGGCAAACAGAAGTCTGGGAAATGGAATTTAGGTCTGGAAAAGAGTGCAGAGAGAATAGTTAAACATCGTCTTCCCCATCTATGAGCAAATACTCAGTCTACCCTCGCCCCCTACAGCTCTAGTTTTATTTTTAAAAGTTGGGACATAGCATCACACACCTCCTATGTAATGCATGGGTGTGGTTTATTGGACTTTTCTTTGTTTTCCCCAGTGCAACTCTTTATACTACTGATGAACAAATGCAGTTTCTTTGGCCATCCCTCCGTGCCAGTAAAAGACAGATTAATAGCATAAGGTTAATGTTGTGTCCCCAAATGTGTCTCTTGTGTACTAAAAATGTAAACCCTATATGGATGCAATGTATAAAGCATGAGGGCACTGTTGAGAAAGCCGAAGCAAAATGCGAAATAAAAGATAAAAATAACACATGTTGCACCAAAGGGGTGGGTTAGTGAAATACCACAAGGAAAATTGCATGTTGTTGACTTATGCTCTTATTTCTTTGTATATTGCCATCAGTACGCACAGCATTTTGCAGAGCACAAAAAAGGCCTTTCCCTGAAGACTTTACAATCTAAGCTCTGACACAAAGGAGGCAACAAAAGGAGATGGAGGTGGAAATAAAGAAGGAAGATGTAGAATCTTTGAATTGGAAGTACTTGCTAAAGTCTTCTTCCTTGCTATCAACTTTTTGTAAGAAGAATGCCCTGTCATATCACAACCACCTCATGCTGACTCCATCCATGGGGCTTTCCGGGCAAGAGATGAGCAATGTTCCATCTAAGCTGAGTGAGTGTGAGCGAGCTCATGGTTCTTTAGCCTCCAGCTCACACATTTTTGTCTTAGCTCAGGAAGGATGGCTCCAGTCCAGAGCAAAATAATTTATGCAGCAGCAAAATCCCTGGCTCACAGCTTTAATGCCAGTAGCTCACAAAGTAGACTTTTTGCTCACAGGACTCCACAGCTTAGAGGGAGCACTGGAGATGAGCAGCAGAGATTTGCTATTGCCTCTCTCCACATAGCAAGCCTAGTCTTCCTTGGTGGTCTCCCATCCGACTGGAGCCCACCCTGCTTAGCTCTGGCAAGTCTGGGCTGAGCTGAACTATTCTCTGCCAAAATCAACTGCAAATTGTAATTAAAAAATAAAAATTACACATAACACCTACTCTACATCTCTGTGTGTGCTTATACACCAAACAGGTGGTCAGCATGGTCATCTCTGACCCACTGGCTACCTGCTTGAAGGAAAAGGGGGCTGTATTTCTTTTTCATGCCTATATATTGCACACACACACACACACCAACAGGGGACTGCCACTGTCAAAACTGTATAATATATCTGTAGTATTAACCATACACCTGCTTGAAGGAAAAGGAGGCTGTATTTCTTTTTCATGCCTATATTGCACACAGACACACACACCAACAGGGAACTGCCACCGTCAAAGCTGTATAATATATCTGTAGTATTAACCATATGTCAGGAGCTAGGTGCCTCACTTATAGGCATCCACACAGAGGTGACACTTAAACTGAAGAGTTCCTGATTCATAGCTCGGTCTCTGATAGTGCAGTCCTAAGCAGCATTACATCCTTCTGAGTCTCTCGAAGTCAGTGGGCTTAAAAGAGTGTAACTGTTGAGGATAGCACTGTTTGCCACTCACTCTGCCCATTCAGCTTTCTGCCTTGTCTGATTTTGTTCACCAGTATGCTTTCATTGCCCTTGCTGTTTTTCCCTTGATTCAGTAGATTCAGGGCAGTCGATTCTATGCAGTCCTGCCTGAACCCATGAACCAAATCCGACCTGAATGGCCCAGGCTAGCCCAATCTTGTCAGATCTCAGAAGCTAAGCAGGGTCAGCCCTGGCTAGTATTTGGATGGGAGACCTCCACAGAATACCAGGGTCCTGATGCAGAAGCAGGCAATGACAAGCAATCTCTGAACGTCTCTTGTCTTGAAAACCATATGGGGTTGCTATAAGTCAGCTCTGACTTCATGGCCCTTTCTATCACCAGTAGCTAGGATGGTGTAGAATTTAAATCCAGACAAATCCAGATAATGAAAAAGTCTAACATTCTCAAAATGTGAAGTAAACATTTCTGTGCACTAAATTGTTGTCATTTGAAGACATCAGTTAAAATCTACTTAGGTTATCTCTTTTATAACTATGTTTACATTGAATTTTTAAAAAATAGGTATAAATGGAAAGCTGTATTAAGCCAGGAAATGCTGCTAGAATAGGCATTGGCTATGTGGTTCAGTCAAAACACCTTGGATTGTGTATCTCAAGTTTAAATTATAGCCAAAGCAATATTGAATGTCCAGTATAAGGATCAGCCAGGTCAACTTCAAAGTATATTTCCCATATATTAGCTGCCAGTCTATAGCATTCTGCACACACACACACTCCCCTCCATGTGAGCAAACTTCCTGGAAGGCCTTAACTTGCACAAATATGGATAGTTCAGTCCTGTTTGCTTTTAAGGGATTTAACTGATGGCGTCTTAGATGAGAAGATTTAAAAGATCCTGCATTTCATTTCTCTCTCTTTCTTTCAGGCTTGTTTGCACATGCCCACCTATTTGCTTTCCAAAGAGTCTTTCCAATAAAAAGGATTTGGGCACTCTCAGGTTTTGAAGTGAGACAACATCATGAATTGTGTTCATGCAAATGTTTGCTTTTCAGACGGTTCCCCTTTGCAAGATACGCGGAGGGTGTATATCTATGGAACATCACCTTCACCACCATCGATGCCCTTCATCTTTCTTTCTTTTGTTTGGGCTTTGCAGCAAGAAATCCTCGTTCTGACAACTATTAATGAACATAAGACCACCTCCTCCTGGATTGTCCAGCCTGTCACTTAAAATTGTCTTCCCATGCCCTTCTCTCTTGTTCCCTTGCCTGCAGAAGTTTATTAGGTAGCAACCAGAGATAGGGCTTTTTCCATGGTTGCATCTTGCCTTTGGAATCCCTTCCCTTTTGAGCCACACCTGATGCCTGTTTTACTGTCCTTTAGGCAACAGATCAAACCTCTTCTCTATATCCAAACTGTTCATTGAAGTGTTCCATATTATAAGTGATTGTTTTTATGACTTGTTTCTTGGCTAAGTGATATTTTATGGATACTAATTCAAGCTGCTAAATGTTTGATTTTTTGCTGTGTTTATGTCTTTGGCATGTTTTAATACTAACAATGTTCACATTTTCTGTTTTTCTGATTTTGTTCTGGCATTGTTCTTACTTTGTGAGCTTGTCTGGAGATGTGACATACAGATTTTCTAAATAAACAATATTCAACCTGAAGGAAAGAATGAAGTATACCATCTGTGAATAATGTTACTGATCAGATGAAACATAAGAACAAACCCAGCCTAATTTTGATCTATATTTTAAACTAAGGGCTCCTGAAATATCTTTCCAAGCACTTGTTCAGAGAAGTTCTAACACATTGCTTTCAGTCACTGGAACATAGGCATAAAAGAATTCAAATGGTGCATGTACTCAGTGCATATAACTGAAATTAAGTATGTGGAAGTAACATGTCAATGCATGGTAATTGGCTTTGAGTGCTCTGTTGAAGGTAGATTTTGACTCCTCAGCCACAAGAGAAGTTTTGCTACTATTGTTTCTAATATGTACTGTCTGTTGCTATAAATATGATCCTACTATGTAATTTCTCAACAATTTAATGTATAATGTTAATGCTTTGTTTCAGCTTGGTTTCAGCTCTGTTTTTCAGATTTCTGCAATCCAAACTATCATATCATTTATTGAGTGTCCCATTCCTGTTGATTTAAATTGTCTCATGCTGTATAATCTGCTTTGAGTCTCAGTGAGAAAGGTGGACTATAAATGATGTAAATATATAACATTTAAAGGGATTTTCAGTGAGCAAGAAGCCAGAAAACAATAACATTTCCAAAGAAGAATCTTTTGAACTGAGTTTATTGATAGTCTATAATAAG